AACTGAGCAAAGCCTGGGTGGCTTTGCTCGTTTGCCCTGGAGCTTTGCTCGGGTGTCCCTGGTCTGCTGGGGGGGTCCAGCGGCCTTGCTGGACCCCCCCAGCAGACCAGGGAGACCGGGAGGACACGGGTGGCGACCCACTGCCCGTGAGCTCCGGGGCGAGAAAAGCCCCGTTCGTAAGTGCGGATCCGACATAAGTCGGATCTGCGTAAGTCGGGGTCTGCCTGTACCCCATCCTGCGAGACCACCTTGGTTACGACTATCTTGTGGCCCACTGACACGAAGGAGGTCCACTCATACGGCCCACTCACTAACTTAGGTTGTCCTTCACTGCTTTAAAGTTTTAAATTGTTTTGAGTGCAGTTATGGAACAAAACAACTTTACATTTGTAAATTGCACTTTCACCATAAAGAGACTGCATGACAATACTTGTACCAGATGAATTGAAAAATATTTCTTTAATCATTTTTACAGTCAAACATTTGTAATAAAAAATATAAAGCGAGCAGCATACACTTTGTATCCTGTGTAACTAAAATCAATATATTTTAAAATGTAGAAAAACATCCAAAATATTTAATACATTTCAATTAGTAGTCTATTGTTTAACTGTGTGATTAAATCGCAATAAGTTTTTTGAATTGTGAGAATTAGCTACAATTAATCAACAACCCTACTTTAAATAAGAGTTTTAGTTCTGTGGAGATGTAGCAAAAGACAAATTATAGTGATGTTATACTGAATGAATCAGCAGGATTTAGATGCAGCTTGGAGACCTACAGGGGTCTGAGTGGAAGATACCTGGTTTAACAAGTTCACACAACAATAGGTGCTCCCAAAGTTTTTTCCCCTCAAAATAGGGTATTTTTGAATTTTTAATCTTCTAAAAATAGCTGGGAGGGGGAGAGGGGGTGTTTGCAGATAGGCTAGGACAGGGTGACCAGAAGTCCCAATTTTTATAGGGATAGTCCCGATATTTGGGGATTTGTCTTATATAGGCGCCTATTACCCCCCACGCTCCCTGTCCTGATTTTTCACACGTGTTGTTTAGTTAGCCGAGGCTCAGAACCAGGCTGCAGAAGGGGGGGCGGGTGTGAGTCTCGGAGCGGGAGGGCGCGAGGGGTGTGTGCGGGCTTGCGAGGCGGGTGTGACTGGCGCGCGGGGGTGTGTGCGGGCTTGCGAGGCGGGTGTGACTGGCGCGCGGGGGTGTGTGCGGGCTTGCGAGGCGGGTGTGACTGGCGCGCGGGGGTGTGTGCGGGCTTGCGAGGCGGGTGTGACTGGCGCGCGGGGGTGTGTGCGGGCTTGCGAGGCGGGTGTGACTGGCGCGCGGGGGTGTGTGCGGGCTTGCGAGGCGGGTGTGACTGGCGCGCGGGGGTGTGTGCGGGCTTGCGAGGCGGGTGTGACTGGCGCGCGGGGGTGTGTGCGGGCTTGCGAGGCGGGTGTGACTGGCGCGCGGGGGTGTGTGCGGGCTTGCGAGGCGGGTGTGACTGGCGCGCGGGGGTGTGTGCGGGCTTGCGAGGCGGGTGTGACTGGCGCGCGGGGGTGTGTGCGGGCTTGCGAGGCGGGTGTGACTGGCGCGCGGGGGTGTGTGCGGGCTTGCGAGGCGGGTGTGACTGGCGCGCGGGGGTGTGTGCGGGCTTGCGAGGCGGGTGTGACTGGCGCGCGGGGGTGTGTGCGGGCTTGCGAGGCGGGTGTGACTGGCGCGCGGGGGTGTGTGCGGGCTTGCGAGGCGGGTGTGACTGGCGCGCGGGGGTGTGTGCGGGCTTGCGAGGCGGGTGTGACTGGCGCGCGGGGGTGTGTGCGGGCTTGCGAGGCGGGTGTGACTGGCGCGCGGGGGTGTGTGCGGGCTTGCGAGGCGGGTGTGACTGGCGCGCGGGGGTGTGTGCGGGCTTGCGAGGCGGGTGTGACTGGCGCGCGGGGGTGTGTGCGGGCTTGCGAGGCGGGTGTGACTGGCGCGCGGGGGTGTGTGCGGGCTTGCGAGGCGGGTGTGACTGGGAGCCGGGCTCTGGGGGCGGGGGTGAGAGAGCCGCCCTGTGCGCATATCCCCAAGGAGCTGCTGTCGCCTGTGGCTGGCCCCCTTGTCTCCTTCACTCAGGGCTGGGGGGGGGGTCTGTTACCGGGGAGTAAGAGGCTGAGGGGGAGGCAGTGACAGTTCCCGCCCTGCAGAGCTGGACACGGGGGAGCGGGGCAGCAGGTTTTCCCTTCTCCCCCCAGGGGAGTGGGGCACTTGCCCTGCTCTCTGCGCTGTGTCTCTGGGTGAGCGGGTGGGGTGTCCGCCTGGCCCCAGCGCGATGGGGGTGCCGCTCTCTTTGCTCTCCGCTCCCAGCGTTGAGGAGGGAGTGTCAACGGGGGTTTTCTCCCTTCCCTCGGAATGGGGTGGCTGTTCCTTTCTCTCGCCCCGCCCCGCACAGGAGACCGATAGCAAGAGCTGCTGGCCGACAGATGCCCCTGGCGCGGTTCCAAACCGTGGTGTTTTATTTTTTAACAAAACTGAAACGGACACAAACGAGTCTGGCTGTGAGGGATATTGAATCGGGGAGGGAGGTGTGAGAACAGGCTTGGGAAAATGCGCTCACTGGCATGGAGTTCCTAGCACATCCTCCCTGAAAATGGGTATGAGTCTGCTAGAAATCTTCTTTTTCTTAAATTGGGAGGATTAAAGTTTGCTTAACTGAGTTCTGCAGTGGTAGTGTAGTTTTCCCCCCTCTGTGGGCTCCTGCTAGGCAATTGGGGTGGGAAACAGTGCTCTGACTGGAAGATGGAGAATCTGGTTCTTGGCCTTTGTATGAAGACTCATTTGTATTTTAAATTTAGAAGAGTACCACATGGGAAATCTTTGAAAAGGTGGTCGTTATTTTTTGTGAGGCATTAACTTTCTGGTCATGAAACTGTGTTTAAAAACTTGAGCACGATGTGTGATTGCTTTAGATCCTGATTCTTCTGCCCACCCACATGCTTCTCAGAAAAGAAAGTAATAGAATATGTCAAATAACAGTTATGGGAGTTCAGAGGTGTTTGGTTCTGCTCTTTAGGAAAGAATCCCTTCATTCTGAGATACCAGCCAAGTGGCTTCACAGCAAGCTGAAATAGTGTTAGAAAGACTTAAATGCTCTTCTAGACTTCCTTGATGGAAAATGTGTAGCTTCACATGTAGGTTTGTTTGCTGTCAAAGGTTCCAACTGCTTGTTTGTGTGTCCGTTATTTCAGAGCCATGATATCTGAAGTGTAGGAGCAAACCAGAAGGCTCAGCTGTGTATCTGCATGATTTTTTTTCTTCAGGATAACTGTAGAAGACTTTTCAGTAATATAAGGCTTTCACATTAAAACATTCTGCAGTACTTTTTGAAATATATGTATGAAACATACTGAAAAGCAGTTAGCTTTAGGTTGAATGGGGTATTCAGGAAATCAACCAGTGTCCAGCACTCTACACAATGTTGAAGCAAAGCAAAGAAAAACATTTACCCAAAAGCAGTGAATAAACAAACCCTTTAGCTTACAGAATGTGTTATGTAAATCTCTGACACAATTGTAGGAGGCTGAATTTAAGATTACTTTATACATCTTGGTATAATTATCATGAAAATTTACCATTAAAGTACAAAATCTACTATCCCTTCATTTTCTACAGCAGCAGTTCTCAAACTTTTTGGGCTCCGGACCCCATTACGTGTATAAAAATGTATGCGGCACCCCAACGGTCCACTGATTGTATGTTGTCTGTTTCCAGTTTGTCAACCTTGCGGAGCCCCTGGAGATGTCTCGCGGAGCCCTGGGGCTCTGCGGAGTACAGTTTGAGAACACTGTTCTACAGTGATTGATGGTGCATTTTAAAACATTATATTCCTCACATGAATAGGATTTTATAAAAGTAGTTTAAGGTGTCATTCACAAATTACTCACTAAAATATATAATTTAATTAATTTTGTTGAGGTATTCATAGCCACATAATGAGCAATGTTAGTATGTGATATGAGTAATATTTGTTGATTGTTTTTTTTTTCCTATCTTTTCCTTAGGGGAAAAATATGTGCATTTTTAAAAGCACAGTATGCTGTTTGTTAATTTAAGCAAGGTCAAAGCAGTGTTACTTGCATGTGAAACAGAATATGGTGAGGTTTGAATTAGTTCTCAGATCCTGTGGAAATTTATGTACATCGGTATAAAAGGATCCTGAGAATCATAACTATGGTAACAAGGAATGAAGTTAATTTAAACATGATGGTCAGACCACTAAATCATGTCTTCTACCTTTCCCCAGTTCCACTCTTCAGTATTTATTCATCTGTGAGAGTTTTTCAGTCTGAAATGTCACTGTATAAATTACCACACAAATCAACTTTTTGCCCTTGAAGCAGAGAGTATCACTTCAGACTCTTTGGTTCAATATTTTCCTGTTGAACCATCCCAAAACTCAGATTTTTAATATGAATTATTGAATGAGTTTAGTCTACTCATGCACAAACTTTCCAGTTGCAGCCCACCCCCACCATTCACAGAGTTTGTCACACCCCTCCTTCATTACTTTGTCACACTCTTCCAGAAGGTGGAGGAAAGAAACAGAGATGAGACTATTCATTCATTTGGTTTAGTATTATAGCATCTGACTCACTTGGAGAGGTCCCGGGTTCTCAACTATTGCTTTGTTTTCATGTCAATTATTAATCATTAAATGAGGTTAAAATTAATTTTGATTCTCTTTAATTTTAAAAGGAATGATAGGCCTACTGTAGTTATGAAAACTAAATGGTTGAAAATAAGCCTGACTGCGCTTTTATTTGTATTTTTAAGGGTGAACATTTCTTAATGCGTGTGCACACGCGCACACAGAGTTTGTGCACCACTGATTTAATCCCTATGTTTGACATGCTTTAAAGTTATAACTTGATGAGACTTGGCCTCTGGAATCTACACTACTTCCCCCACCATCACATTTTTAATGCATGACCTGGTATCTTTGTTTTACTGCAGGAGCCACCACCAAATGGAACACAAGTTAACTTAAACCTAGAGGAAGCTGGTGACATCTGAAAGAGGGTAGGCAAAATTGATGCGTAAAGATGTGCTTAAAATTAACTTACAGTGGTCAGAAGAGAAAATAGTGGACCATATTCAACTTGGCCATAAAAGGGCACTATAACTTGGAAGCCAACAGAGTGGCACATTTGCATTAATTTAGATGGAATAAATGAGTTAAAGATGTTGACATAACACCAGTCATCAACTGTTAAGGCCTGGGGATTGGTGTACTGAGATCTCGGCCTGCTTAGCAATATGGTAAACACACCCGTAAAAATCTTTTAAAAGATTAAATATACCAAAAAGAATGAAAGGCACATTTGAAATGCAAAGTATTAAATAAGGGTTTCATTGTAACATTTGATTCTTTTCCTTGTAGGAGAGTGTTTTTTAAATGGAAACACTCCATGTTGTTTGACAGTGTCAACAAAAGATGTTTGTTATTAGTATAAAAAATGTTGTTAAATGTCTTTTTTGGGAAAAGAGAAGTTAGTTGAGATGGGTTTGAGAGAGTATTGTTGCTACAGCTGTACAAGTCCAGTCTTAGAAGGAAAAGCTCTCATGTCCAATAGTCACATGACATCAACGATGGTAATAACTATGATCCCAGGTGATGTTGGGGATTCAGCTGGAGATGGTAGGGGTGGTGATGTCATCTGGGCCCCTCTCTCTGGCCACTTATCAAGATCAGAATGATTAAGGCCCAGGGTTCCAGGAAACTGGTGGTTGGCAACCATGAGTCACACCTGCTCCACTAGCCTCTCTGTTCTCTCCCTGTATCTTTTTTTTTGTTCTTTCATATTTTTCCCACAAATACTTTTTTTTTAAGGACCCAAAAAGGGAATGAGGGTGGAATAGCCCCTCTGTTATTTTACCCATCAATTAGTCCTAATAGTCCGCATATCAATTTTGGCTTATAAACTTCTGACTCCACGTCTCCTGTTTTTAGCAAGTATAATTTAACACAGAGATTAAATCATATCAGTTTGGCTTTTTTATTTAGACTAATTCAATAATTCTGTCTTCCATTCATATGTTTATCATCAACATTTATTGTAACAGATTACTGTAACATTTTATGAATGTATACATTTTTACCGTTGAGCTCATATTTTGGGTAAATTGGTAGGCCTACTTGTCACAACAACACCACTTATTTCAGGGCTGAATTTCAGCCACTGTATTAGATTCCAAAAATAACAGAGAAAGCCTGGTTTAATCCCTATTCTAAGAATTATTTAGACACAATTTTGATAAATAAGAAAATAAATAACCCATTGGAATGCTTTCTTGTGTTGAACAAGTGGGTAAAGGAAAAATGGAGAAATCACATTTAACAAATAAACAAAGATGTCAAGTAGGGAAATCCCTTTCATTTGTTTGCAAACCAAGGGAATCTGGTGGGGGTTTTTTTTGTTTTTTTTTTTTGCCTATCAACTTTGTTTTGTTGTGGTTTTTACCTTCTGATGGTATTAATGTGGCAGTTGCTAGAAAGCATAGTTGTTATTCAGTCTTGAGTACTAGAAATGTCTTGATTTGTTTGTCACTATATACTTGTAGAGATTTACATATTTTATTAAAATGATCTCTCTATGGGATATATACTTCTGGAGTAGATTTCTTCTTCTGTATTTCATCAATATTGGAGTGGAAAAGACTAGGTGGAATTAATTTGAATTGTTAAGTTAGAATTCCTATTTCACTCCTCTGATGTTTTCAGGGTCCTCTCCTCTATTCTCTCTAACCACCAAAAATACATCTTGTTGACTGTTCTTCCAAATCAGAACTGAATATAACTGCTTCTGAAGCTCATTAGTTCTGAATTAAGCCCTTGGTATAGCACTGATGTCTAACACTTTCTGCCTGAACATACCGCAAAAAAGTTAAGGGACCTGTAGGAGACCCTCCCCCCTTGTGTCCGGGGGGGAGTGCCCCTCTTTTCTGTAGCCCTCCCCCTTTCGTTTGGAGTTCTCGTGGTTTCATTTGTACCCGTTATACAATTTCCCCTCCCTTCACGTATAGCCGCACCCGAAAAGAGGGACTTTTGCCTCTTGGGGATTACGTTGGGGTAGGGGGACCCGGGCCCACCCTCTCCACCGGGTCCCAGCCCGGAGCCCTGGGGAGGGATTATGACACTCTCCTCTCCCTATTGGTTGGTGGGGGGACCACCAGGGCCTAACGCCCTACTCCAAGCCACTTCCTACCCTGTCGACGGTTCCTCTTACCCCCATGATGGGTCCTCGGTCTATTCGCCCCACTCCCCTGCAAGTCTTCCTGATCCTGGCTCAGGCTCGCAGTTCCGGGGTCGTCGGGGGTCATGGTCTGCTGGGGCGTCTTCCCCGCTGCCGGTTCCAAAGCCCTGTTGCTCCGGTCCTACCCCTGAGCCTTCACGGTCGGCTCCCCCGCACTCTTGGGAGCCGTCGCCACTAAGACTCTCTGCTTTCCCCTGGGTACGGGGTCCGCCATTTATAAAGGTCATGGCGCACCGCTGACATGGCCGTCTGGCATCCCAGGCGGTGCCTGACTCCTCCCCCTTCCACCATTCTTCCCCTCGCAGGCTTCTGAGGCTGCCCAAAAGGCCCACGCCTGCGCCCTCCTGCTGACCCAGTCCCTCACAGCTGTCTGCCGGCATACGGGGCTCATCCGCCCCCTCGCCCAAGCAGCCCGGGATGCCTGCGCCAGCGTGTCCCGGCTGGTGCAGCTCTCCCCGGCTGTCCGCCAGAGCATGGGGCTCGCCTGCCCCATCGCCCAGGCAACCCCGAACGCCCTCATCTGCGCGTCCCAGCCAGCACTGCTCTCCCCAGCTGTCCGCCAGAGTGCGGGGCTTGTCTGCCCCGTCACAGGACCAAACTCACTTTTTTGAGGTAGATTTTCTGAGGAAGGCACCATTCACATATACCTAGCTAGTTTGTGTGCTTCCATCCTAAT